TCACGAGCGCCTGAATATCTCGACTTCAACCTTCCTCAAACGGAAGAGACCGAAAGTCTAGCAACATCACGGCTAGGCTCGTCGTACGTAAACTGGGGACTATTCAACTCTCTTTTGGCTGGTGGTCTTGAATGTGGCTCCATCACTGGGGAGTTGATTCATGCTCAGAAGTTGCCCACCTGCTGAGTTTGTCCTGTTGCAGACCGTTGAGATTGACGACAGGAGCAAACGGCCTTGCGTGATAAGCCGGCTGGGCGGCATATCTCGAGTTGCCAAGATGAAATGCGGATTTTGCCATCTAACAGGCAATGCCAAGACGGTGACTGTAGCCAAGAAAGGCACCAAGTCCTGAGTCCCGTTCGTATCTTGTGCAACGGTGTGATTGAACCTAGCAGATGCCGTTGATCGAGTTGCCTCTTACGCCAATCGTGAACAAATCATTGGCGGACAACGCGTAAAGCTGGGCTCAATTGCGGTCATTGCAGTTCCCACTGCCAGCTCTTGGCTCTCTTGGCAGCCTTGGCGGTTGACTACCATTGCCCCTTATTACGATGGGGATTGGCCGATTCAAGCTTAAATTTATGAGTATCGGGCGTTGCCGACCAACGAGGATGTTACCTTCCTTAATTTGACGTCTGTTCCACCCCGGATGCGAGGAAATCCTTCGAAAAAACCCCGCGCTGCTCCGCCCACATCCCGGGAGTTGAGCACCGCCCACGTCCCCACATCTCCGGGGGTATCTCGATCTGCCGATTGTTCCTCCCGCCAAATCCCGCTGGATCCCGCCAGCTGCGACAGTTGTCCGACCACCGTCTTATCTCTCATGACCGATCACGCCCATAATGCGGGGGTGTCGAGCCTTAGCTCGGCTCTTGTCATCCAGCACCTCGGTGAGATAGACCAGTTCTTTTTCGGTCAATCTTCCATCGTCTACCCAAATGCTTTTGTACCCGATACAGCTAAGACGTGAAACTGCGCAGCAAGCCGAAAAGTTGACCACGGTGAAAAGCTTTGCTATGGTTGAGAGTAGCCTTTACCTAGTGCTGTTCAAATAAGACACTGTAACCTGCAGTCAGGACTGATGCAGAAGGTTGCGCATGGTTCTTCGCGAGATTACTAACTCTGGCAGGTACTCCAACTGCCAACATTCAAATAGGTCTCCATAAAGTTACTCTTATACTGTTTCTCAAGTAAGCGATTCATCAATGTTCCTGATTCCAAGGTTAGAAGGCGAGGGGTAGGAGTATTGAGCCTCGATGGCAAAACCAGCTTGGGACTGTGTAGGCTCCATCGATACCTTTACAGAGACATGAACACTCGGAACTGTCCGCTGTCCGGCTAGGTATTGGTTGGACAACATTGAGCTTTCTTGGGTGGTAGTTCATATGACGCATTGAAGAAAAATATATATCGTTGGGTTAACTGGCCATCCATGTTAACAAATGTCCTGTTCACTCTAGTCTGCCTATTAGGTACTTATTTAAAGACCTAAGTGATATTTGACAACCGTCTTGCGACAACTCATTCACATAGACATAGTATGTGAAATAGAAAACAATAATTTACACATTACTTATATAACAGGAAACACGGAACAATTGCCTCGAAAGCTTAGTTTTCGGTGGAAGCCTTTGAACTAGTCGCACCATTGCCCACCCATCGGCAATTGGACATGGGGATATTCCTGCCAACGTACTAAGCAATTAATAATTATTTTTCTTTTTCAGCTACGTCCCCTTTTTCTATCTTCGAGTGCTACTTCTTTATACGGAAGTTCAGTATACTAGATTGAAATTGTTTACATGGAAAGATCTTGTTACGTTCTTTTGAGACAGCTTCGACATTACTCATAAATTTCCTGGCCATTACCTTATCTAGGCAATCAGTCGTCAATAATACCTGCTCAATACACAGACTGCCTATCTATTGCATTTTGGGTCCCAATTTCTTCTTCACAATTTATAAGGGGTTTATGTAATTGTTCTGGAATGTCAACACCGTTTATTAGTACTCCAAGTAGAGTACAGCTCTCTTCGGCTCCTTGTATATATTATAAGAGGTAAGCAGATTAATTCATTTAGTGTCGCGTAGTTTTCCTAACATCATCGCTCAAAAGCGAGTGGGAGATTCTCCATTGACGTGCAATAGATCTATTTCTGGTTTGACTAATGCATCCTCTGCATACAAGCGATCAAATGGCAAGAGGACAAGGCGTTGGAGGTGGATTGCTTGGATATGTCCAGGATATGATTGGGGCGTTGGAAACCACCTTTTGCAATCCAACCTCTTGCCCCTGTTTTCCAAAGTGCGGGGATGCAATATCTTTTGCTTGTGTCATGAGTATAACTTTGATGGCATTGTAAGTTTGGGCCAACTCATCGGGTCTCGTCAACCATCTTCTGGGAAACGCGATGGGTATCTTTGGCACGCTCCTTGGCAGAGCTGCCGCGCCAGCCCTCGCCTTCTTGCTCTGCTGGTGCGTCGTCCGGAGGGCTGCACTTCACTTCAAACTTCGACATCTTGGAGGCCCTTGGTGGAGTGGCCTCACACATTGGCCTCACAGCAAGGCAATCATTAGTCCCAATTGCCACGAGTGGTACGCCGATATAAACGAAAGATATGGTATGCGCAACTACCTCTCAGCTCATTCATTGACTGATGATCGCATAAGCATTGATAATGCACATCACCTTCTGGAAGCTAACTTTCTTAAAGGTCGCGTTGCCCGCATCGCTCCGGGAATTTTGGTGACCTCTTCTCCTGAAGTTTGGGCCCATGTCAATAGACATCCTGGATACAAGCGCTCCGATTGGTATTATCATGCTTGTCGAATTGAGTACCAGCGTGATAACGTCTTCTCTCAAACGGACAATGAAAAACACGAAAGGAGAAGAAAGCAAATGGCGCCGGGGGTATGATATCATCAGTATTTGCAGGTTTCTGGGAGAACGGCTAATCTAACTCTTGGTAATCAGTACTCCGGCAGAGAGAACCTAGATCTTGAACCTACGATTGATCAACGCCTTGAGGAGCTTCTCGGGCTTATCAGATCCAAATATCTTTCGACTGACGGCAAAGTCACACCAATGGATTTGGCCAAAAAGATACAGTACTTCACCCTCGATGTCATCAGCTCTGTCGGGCTTGGGAAAGCGTTCGGCATGCTGCGGACTGACAGTGATGTGGATGACTACCTGAAGTCCACCGAGGAGGGCTTGTCTGCTATTAGTTTGGCTTGTGCTATCGGCATTAGCTGGATAGCTCAGTCACCTATCATTGGCAAATTCATAGCTCCTTCACCTACTGACAACAACGGTTTTGGTAAAATGATCGCGGCGTGCTTCCGCTATGTTGACGAACGCACTGAAAAGCCAACGGACGAAAGGTCGGACATGCTTGCATCATTTATACGCCATGGATTAAATGGTGATGAGCTGAAGACTGAGGCACTGGAGCAAATCATTGCCGGATCGGATACAACCGCAGCTGCCATACGAGGGACACTCTTGCAAATTATGACGAATCCCAGGGTTTACGCAAAGCTGCAGCATGAAATTGACGAGGCAGTACACTCTGGAAATGTCCCAAAACTCGGCGAGGGAATTATAACTCTGGGGCAAGCGAAGAAACTGCCTTACCTACAAGCAGTCATCCGAGAGTCTCTGAGGATCCGACCGCCGGTCCTCAATATCTTTTCTCGAGATGTTCCCCTTGGAGGTGATACTATTGAAGTGAAAGGGGAAACTTACTTTTTACCGGGTGGTGTTTGTGTGGGCTATTCTGGGTACGCGATGCATCGTAGCCAAGCAACATACGGCGTCGACTCTACAGCATTCCGACCAGAGAGATGGTTTGAGGCAGATCCGGATAAGCTCTCCGCAATGATTCAAACCAATGACCTAATTTTTGGCCATGGCAAGTTCATGTGTCTTGGTAGACCCGTGGCTCAGATGGAACTTTCCAAAACTATTTTCGAGGTGCGTTGCAGACTCCGGAATACGTCGTTGTTAATTCGGCTATGAAGTGATAATACTGACCTCTTCAAGATGTTGCGAAATTTCGAACTGGCGTCGAATAATCCTGTGCGTCCATGGCGGGCAAAGAATTGCATGGGGCTATTCGTGATTTCGGATATGTGGGTTCAAGTAACGGAAAGGGCCTAGCCACTGACGGTGGCTTTCAAAGAAACAAAGTTTTAGTGTCCGGTTTCCGTTTGAGTATTTCCTCGTTCTATCATGCTTCTCCACGAGATCATAAAGTATGCCTGTTATTGCAAATGTTTCAGATCTGGCCATAAAGTAAGGAATCTACTTACGCTGAAGAAATTTATTTGAATATGGACTCTAAGTTTGATATCGTGATTCTTTTTGCTACGTCTTAGTTGCAACGTCCGATTGCGTGCGATATTCAGCACTGAATCTAAACTCTTGGTAAACCCTTACCCAGGGTCAAGGGAGACCCCTCTTCGTGCTAGACAGGGGAGGTTTGACAACTTAATGAGGAATGGAGAACGCAATGATTCACGCTGTACACTTTCGTCTATTCAGATCTAATGACTTCATGTGACGGATCGCTTGCTGCAACATGACACTCTCAATGCGGTGTGTTAGATATCAAGTGAAAACTGCTTGACTGGTCCTAAAGTGAGAGACTTAAATTGTGTGGACTTCTGCTTGACACGTCGCATGATATTATCAACTCCAAGAGAAAGAGATTCGGCCCCGTGCAATATCGTTGACATTACTCAAGATTGTGAGATGACTTGATATCACGATAAAAGAGCTCACTCACACTTGACGCCAAATGTTCAAGGTACCTAAGGTATTTGGTTCCTTCCTCTTTCGAGTGTAATGCCCGTTACAGGCCATGTATTGTAGTCTACCTAGTCTTGCTGGCAAGTCCTACGCTATTTGCTTTCTCACACCAGTGTGTATAAGTCAAACAGTGGGGCAGAAAAAAGAAAGCCGCGCTCCAGAATTCAAATTGACTGGCTGCTGGTTCTAGAACTCAACGCGGCGGATCAGCTTGCCTGCAGGTGCTGCTGGCGCGGCGGGGGCAGCTGGAACTGGCTTTCCGCCGGCGGGGGCTGGCGGAGGAGCAGCAGCAGGTGGAGGGGCGGGTTTGCCTGCAGCGGGTGCCGCAGGAGCAGCAGCTGGCGGAGGGGCGGGCTTTCCGGCTGCCGGGGCTGCCGGGGCTGCAGCGGGTGGGGCCGGTGCAGAGTTCGGCTTTCCACCAGCAGGAGCATTGGGCTTCCCACCAGCAGGGGGGGCCGCAGCTGGAGGGGCGGCGGGTGTGGAGCCAGCGGGCTTAGAAGCTGCCGGCGGGGCTGGGGCCGCAGCTGCTGGTTTCGATGGAGCGGGTGCCGCCGGAGCTGCGGCCGGTGGAGGAGCTGCGGCGCCTGCTGCGGGAGCTGCAGCAGCCGGCTGAGCCCCTCCTTTTCCTTTCAATACTCCTGCTGCAGCTCCAAGGACAGCGTTGAGAGGATTTGCCTGTTGTCCTGCGGGAGCGGCAGCCCCAGCCGCGGGGGCTCCTTTACCCTTGAGGACTCCGGCGGCAGTTCCCAAGACTTGCCCGATTGGGTCAGCGGCTTGCGATCCAGCCGGGGCGGCGGCACCAGCCGGTTGACCACCTTTTCCTTTCAGCAGACCTGCTGCCGTTCCGAGCACGGCTCCAATGGGATCGGCGGCGGGAGCCGCAGAGGCTGCAGGTGCGGCAGCAGCTTGCCGAGCCCCTAATGCTGGAGCCTTTGCTTTGCCAGCAGTTTTCGCCTTTGCCGGTGCTGCAGCACCGCCAGTAGTCTTCCCTGTAGCCTTCTTGCCTGTAAGGCCTCCCAACAAAGAGCCGATGGGGTCGGCAGCGGCGGCTTGCTGGCCAGCAGGCTGGGCAGCTCCCGCTCCTGCTCCCGCTGCGGCGCCAGCGGCTCCAGCAGCCTTACCTCCAGCGCAGTTTCTAGAGCCAAGTAGGTAAGCTTCATGTCTCAATCCAAACGATTTGTTTCCCCTTGACGTGCGTCTTTGACATGGAAAGTGGAGAGATTATAATCCTAAATTACTTACCCTGTGATTCCGCCAGCCTGTGCCCTCACGCATTTCGCATTTTGTCCTCCCTTCCATAAAGTCAGTCAACATATTCATACTGATGGGCGACTTAGAGATTCTTACCGAGAGCAGACAGTCCAAGTCGTCGAAGCAGACAGCGCCTTGTTGTGCTGACACATACGTGGCCAACAGAGCAGAAGTTACAACAGTAAGCGCACGCATGGTGGATTGGTGATGGAGTTATTCTCGATATGGGTCTGCAGAAAGGATGTGAATAGCCCCCTCTTAAGTCTTGAAAGAGGCGGGTAGCTTTGAGTGACGGTTTGTGAATAATATGCGAACACGAAGAGGTCGCATTAGGGGTGCTCCCCGAACTTTATAGACGAAGAGCCATGACTTCAAATCTTTTCCTGCATATCAGCTCGTTCGCCAGCTGAAGAGCAGAACTCAAAGTCCTGCTTGCTTCAAAGCCGAGGCAGTCTTCGGCGTCTACATGTGTTGTCCTCACTCTCAAATACTCGAGGCGTGCCTTCCAAACGTCTCAAGAATCGTTTGACCGGAGAGTGTACCGCATTCTCATCAGATGAGTGGCCGTGCAGGGTATCAAAATTCCGACGACAGTCTTCTTGTGGGTGACGGCAGATCGCCCCGAGTAGCAGGCACCATGGGGCCCGTCCCTGGCCCCCGACAGCAGTCAAGGTGAGTGGGTAAGCTCTATAAGCTGGAGAAGTGTTCATCTGAAGAGTTTTACAAATTTATTCATTACTTGGGGCTCAAGCTATGAACAAATGCGTCTCTTTGACTCCCTTCGTCGGACCTGAAAACGCGCCCCTGCATGCGCGTCTCATCCCATCAACGAAATGTCAAAGCCTGTCACACCATTTGTGGCAATGTTAACATTTGTCAATCTCAGCCTGTCCCAGTTCTGGGCCTCGGGTTTCTCTTGCATGCCATAAAATGTTCCAGGGCTAACAAGTCGCCATATTTTGCTCAGTCACGCTGAGTGGCATGCGCTATTGGCGACTTCCAGGCCTACTTCTGATTTGAATTGTGCTCGGATATCCGATTTACCGTCCAGGCAACTGGGCAACTTGTGCAAGACTAAATACAGTGTGCCAGATTCATGACATTTGGCCAATTTCGTAACGACAAAATCTGTACTATATTCTAGATCTTGCTATTCGGGTTACTTGATACGCCCAGCATATGAATCCGACTTTCAGTGTACTGTGCAAGTACATGCAGGCTTGCACAGAAGCAAGGGACATACCACTACAGTAGTCGTAATAGAGTTCATGCACCAGTTGTATTCGAGGAAATCAAGATAAATTCATTGCTCAAAATAAATCCTCTCGTGTGCCTTATCTATTATTAAGTAGGCGGCAATAGTGGATCTCTGTCTCTGTGTCAAATGCAAGCTGAGGTGGTTAGTCGTTCAAGTTCCTGCTCTATTTTTGATCCTGCCCTTGACAGAATCCCGCGAGGCGACATTGTATTACTTCGGTACAATGCCCTGCCGGCTATGTCCGATTTACTTCGTGTATATTCCTCGCCCAGTTCACTACTGCTCGTGAATCAATATCGCGCCAAGATCTTGATATCTCTAATGTAGCTTTGCCTCAGAGCCGGGATAACAACAACGCTTGAAAAACATATTTTCCATCGCTCTTCCCTCATGGAACAATATTGCGGTTTCCCTCTTTGACATGTAGTACTTGGGTATGTAGAAAAGTCATTGACGATGCTGTTGGTCTCGACATCTGTCACAGCGCCACGTGTGGCGCTGCCCATTACTACTGCACGGTACCGCTTTCTACGAGACGGCTATCCGCTTCGTACAGTATTTGAATACGACCCTAAACGGGTCTCCTACTTAAAGAATTTAAGCCACTTCCTACTCCATATGTCTTCTACTTAGCCCCTGGCTTTCTGGTAGTATCCTACAACACACGTCCAACTACGCTTAGCTTGAGGCCAGCGGAATTGATAAGCCAGGAAATACACGTCGATATGCCACCTGTTAAGTTATGAGACTTCTTAACTTCACTAGTTACCGAATCAACCAGAACGACCTGACGCCGCAGACAGTCAGTGGAACTATAGATCACCCGTTTTCATCGAACGCATAAAAACGAGGTGCCTAGCTTACTTCGGGATACCTGAGTACCTAGTTGACGATGTGTTTTGCACTTTTCAATCATGCTCTCAACGTATCATATGTCTGCTCGCCACCGTATCACGTCATTTTCATCGGCTGCGGTTTCAACCATATACAGCCTTCGGGATTTAATGATGTCTCGTCCCCTTCTCTAAATCTGGCCATGCCCTGTCTGAAAGGATGGCTCTGACCTGACTACCTTACTAAGATTCAGCACACCGGCGAAATTGGCCGGGACCCACCTCTCACCGCCCAGATTGGCCGTTCCGCCATATAGCGTGTTCAGCGGGCGGCGAAATTGGCCATCTGAGACGCTCATTGCACGTAATGAGAACGCAATTCTCTGCGGGATATTCTCAGTTAGCGAATGGCTCATTTATCCAAGACACTACTGGAGACTATATAAAGTGAGACGTTGGGTTGCCAGCTTGCATCTCGAAGTCCAGAGAGTAAGTCAAATTCGGCACACACATCTTCTTGGCACTTTTACTAAACATCAATTTGCATACTCTACTTCACTTACTTTGAATCTCAATTCTCCGATATGGTTATCGCTCTCGTCACTGGTGGTAATGCCGGCATTGGCGAGGCTGTTGTTCGACAGCTCGCCAGAATCCCGGGCTTTCATGTCATCATAGGATCCCGCAATCCTGAGTCTGGCTCTAGGCTCGCCCAGTCTCTCAATAACGAGAGCTGCTCAGTCTCTTCTATTCAGCTCGACATTACCTCTGACGAGTCAATCCTCAAGGCCATCGAAATCATTGAGAAGACTCACGGGAAACTTGACGTCCTCATCAACAATGCAGGCATTCTGATCGATACATACCCTGATTCGTTCAGCTCCACTCGGGATCTTTTTAGAAAGACCTACGAAACCAACGTCTTCGGAACAGCCGTTCTAAGTGAAGCAGCTCTTCCCCTATTACGCAAATCCGAATATCCGCGCATCATCTTCGTGTCGTCCCAGATGGGTTCTTTGGAGTCGACTTTAGACGAGAGTACGCCTTTCTACAACATCGACTACAAAGCATACGATGGCAGCAAGGCAGCTGTCAACATCTTGGCTGCCAACTATGCACGTATACTCAAGGATATCGGCGGGGCTTCGAATGCTGTTTGCCCCGGCTTGGTCAGAACGAAGTTGACTGGATGGATGGATGCCGGTGCACCGACTTCTGTCGGTGCGGAAAGAATTGTGGAGTTGGCAATTGCAGCTCCGGGTGGACCGACCGGCACGTTCTCCAACAGAGAGGGCCCCCTCGCGTGGTAAAATAGACATCCGTGCCCATTGGTGTATTGGTTCTGGCCTCTCAAGTGGGAAAAGGGAGCGTGTCAGGTCTGGACCTGCTCCATGACAAATTCAGCCTCTTGGGTTCGATTGCTTGAGAAACCGACCCGAACAAGTCCCATATCACAAGGGAGACCAGCAGTACAATTGATGATTTTTACCTTCCCTACTAGTCTCATAGTCTACATCATGACTGTCACTAAATTCAGTAGTAGCCCGATGTCATCGACCCCTGAGTTCCATCTATCAAGCGTTTCTGCGTGAACTGCATCGCTGGCACGTCGATGACTCTCCAGAAGCTCTCCGAAGCAAGTCATATCCTTGCCCCGTTTGGGAAGAGTTCCCAAAGCTTTTGTTTCTTCGTCCCATGATTCTGTGGTCGTGGCACCCCATTGTACTTTGTGACATGGTAGTAGCAATTCTCTCCACGTATCAAGAATGCTGCAAGATATGCCCATCTTGACGGTGGCCACCTGTGCTACTAGAAACCACACGCAGGCAATTCTGGAGCGTCTTGTTGTCAGCTCATTAAACATTGTTTCAAAATGAAACCGAGGATTACTCGCCTTATCCGAGACTCGTCTAAGATCCAATCTTCCCATGATTGCGAACTCTTGGAGTCTACACTGCATGGTGTATCAGTCATGGCCATGAACTGTTTCCAAAGCGCCTAGTAAAAGATTATCAGTCGCGATGCATTCCATCAAGAAGTTATTTTATTCGGTAGCAGAAGGTACCTCATAAGCCAACAACATGTGGGTGTTGTAGTCACGATCTTCAAGAGTGCTTCCGCCGCCGGCGACGACACGCATGATAATATATATCAGTTCTGCTTGTATTGAGGCGAAGATGTCTCTTCTGCTATATCTAACCATCTGTTTAATGAAGTCAGCATTCTCAACCCATCTGGCAGGGTGTAGTGTACTGTTCCAACCTCGTTGAGGTTTCTGTCCTGCTCCCTTCGGATTGATTGCCATAGGAAGGGACTAGTGTCTGGGTTTCGAGATACGAACAGCATCGCAATGCCCATACAGTTTGACAATGGTTCGGGAAGATGGCTCTTGTCCTGGTATGGGTGTATGAAGGGAGGAAATGTGGACCTTCGCAGCATCATTTGGGGATATGAACGCAGCGCCTGTTTGATCACGTTTGCACTGCCATTCGCCGCCGGGTTTACTTCCCCGATGAATTGAAGGGGAAAGACGATCCAAGACGTATTCGAGAACACGCGCCTATCAAGATTGATTGAATGTGGCAGTATCTGCTGGTACGGCTCTGTAGTTAGAGGCATATCAGTGTCACCGACTAACAGGTCCTCAGTTGTTTGGCCAAGTCCAGGTTCCGTCAGAGGGAAGTGACCAAACGCGGCTTCATCTGGCAGCTCAAATTTTCGCGAAAGTGAATCCCATCGTACTTGATGACCAAAAGCCGAATCCTCTTGAGCGAAAGTAGACAGAGGATCAGCTGAATCCAAGCCTGGGAGATTCGGCGCCCAAACTTGTGGGCTGAGGGCCTCTATACTGTCTGTGGACCCGTAACTTCTGTTTTCTGCGTAGATGCAGTCTAATCCTTTCTTTGTGCAACGCGTACAGCGAGCTTGCAAGCTACACTTATGTTTGGCTGCACTGCATTCTCGACAAGGCTTTGGTCGGTTTCGGGGTCGGTCCTTTGTTCGCCGGCAATAAGACACATGGCGCTTCAGCGCAGTCTCTATGCCGGGAATTTGCGTTAGTTCACGCGCTGAAATGAGAGGAAGACGCAGTAGCTGAGGACAGA